TTTTGTACTCCAGTGGGATGCAGCTTGACTTTTTCCAAGGATGTTTCAAGAATGTTCCTTTCATCTGATGTTATTTACCCTTTGGAAAAGTTTGAACACCTTTCTGAAACGATACTTCAAATGCTAGTAATCAAACAAACAAAGAGTAGCAAATGCATACCCCAAACAATCTTCAGACATAATAGCAACTCTCTCTCTCTCTCTCTCACTGGTGATTTAAGATAGTAAAATGTATGCATACATGAGAGAGCCTAACACAAACAAAAGGATTAAAGCAGTTGCCATTTTTAATGTATTGCACTGATTGTCCCGATAAGACTGGGATAGTAAACACCAGTAATTGGTAAGTGGTTCAGTACACAGTGTAAAGCAAACAATTCACTTATGATTTAATTGTTCAGAATATAATTGCCTTTCAAAGCAAATGCCACTGTATGCTAATTCAGAGCATTTTGAAGTGGATGGGAAATAATAAGCAGGTATCTATGGACATCTCTACTTTTTTTTTTTGGTTTCCTTTAGTACTTTATCTGAAACCATTCCACACACATACACATAGTAATCAGGACTGTGCGTATGCTGGTGTTTGCAGTGCTAAACATCATGAAGTGTGAAGGTGAACAGTTGGAGACACATGGTGGATGCATGCCAATGAGCGACAGACCAGCAATGTTAAAATTAGACAGCTTCAACAAGGATGCATATGCATGCCCATACATTCATTATCATCATCATCAATTTATTGTTTATACCCCTCCCACCTGGCTGGGTTTCCCCAGCCACTCTGGGCGGCTCCCAACAGAATATTAAAAACACAATAAAACATCAAACATTAAAAACTTCCCTAAACAGGGCTGCCTTCAGCTGTCTTCTAATAAGCAAAACAGTTGTTTATTTCCTTGACATCTGATGGGAGGGCGTTCCACAGGGCGGGTGCCTCTACTGAGAAGGCCCTCTGCCTGGTTCCCTGTAACCTCACTTCTCTCAGTGAGGGAACCGCCAGAAGGCCCTCAGAGCCGGACCTCAGTGTCCGGGCTGAATGATAGGAGTGGAGACGCTCCTTCAGGTATACTGGGCCCAGGCCTTTTAGGGCTTTAAAGGTCAGCACCAACACTTTGAATTGTGCTTGGAAATGTACTGGGAGCCAGTGTAGGTCTTTCAGGACTGGTGTTACATGGTCTTGGCGGCCACTCCCAGTCACCAGCTTAGCTGCCACATTCTGGATTAGTTGTAGTTTCTGGGTCACCTTCAAAGGTAGCCCCACGCAGAGAGCATTGCAGTAGTCCAAGCGTGTGTCATTTACATACCACTTGCACTCAGCATTCACACATGCTCCACATTTATCAACCCTTATAGCCTATTCGTGCTTACTCTGAAGTAAGCTCAGATTCCAAGTAAGAGAGTGTCAGATGCCACCCTTTGTCTGATGTGTTCATTACTACTGGTACCCCCTACTCTTGGCATCAATGGCAGTGACATGGAGCAGTTTTCTGTGCTGCCCTTCATTCTAAGCATTCTCAAGGCTGCTTACGATAATAAAAACAATATATCACAACAGGATAGTAACAGAATTAAGTTGTGTCATTTGTCACTATTCCCATCTTAGTATCAGCTATGTATGTCCAGTTCTGTTTTTTGCTTTACAGAAAGTTTATTCGTGTCGCAGTTGCAAATCTTCACAAACGTAGCTTTCCAATAGTCTGCATTAGTCTTGATATTCTGTTGCAGCAGAATATGAAAATACAGATAAAACTCTTCCAGCCATTTGCTCATCAAACCAGTCCCCTTTTTTTATTAGTTTCCCACATGTTTACTTTAATATGAATGTGAGAGTCTCATAAAATTCCGTCTTCCTTTTAATGCTCATTAGCTTAAAAAGGCTACCTCTTTCGGCTTCATAATAAGATTGTACTTGGCTTGTTTCCTGAAGTAAGATTGCAAATGAAAGTGTGGATCACGCAGTAGTACTGCAACGGAAAACAAGTGTTTTACTTCTACAATGTGTCAGCGCATTTGTCTTTACATACAGTATTATCCCAAGGATTATCTAGTTACTATGATCAAAGCTGATGTTAATAAGATAATTTAATAAGCATCCAATGCCACAGACTTGGGTATTAGGAGAGGGGGGGAGAAGTCATTTCTGGCCATCCGTCCTTACTTTGAAGGATAGATGCAACAAACGGAATTAAACATTGCTGTGAAACAGCTTATTTGTACAGAAAGAAGCCATTATGATAAACGTAAGATCAGTTGAATGAACAGTAGCAACACCAGATGCAATCAAGCTTGCAGTGTACAGCTTTTAGAATTATTGATGAAATATGGTTAACTCTGCATTTATTTTAAGTATATCCATTTTGCAAATTAATGATACATCCCAATATTAGGGAAACAGAATTATGTTAGACATTGACTATAAGAAATATAGAAAGCCACAGCCAGAGCGGTCTAGTGTTAAAGTGATTGTTTTGAGAGTTAAGTGCTTGGAGAATTGTGTGGAGGAGTAGATGATAAATGTATCTATATATTGCTGGAGTTTATTGCCTCAAATGCATAGTCTCATTTTTAAAAGCACACTGCAGTTAATCACTTGCACGGCATACCGACTGTGTATGTAGGTATATATAATGCACAAATATGTGTGAGCTCAGGAAATGTGCTTGGATTTTTCATTACCATAAGTAGCATAGGAATAGAAAACATCAGATTGTTTTAATTAACCTACATATTGTTTCTAGATTAATGATACAGTCTACTCGGTCATTGTATTTATCATTATAATGATGCACGTTGCAGAAGCAGCCTATAGGATTCCATAGCAGAAATAAATGGCCACCTTTGCTGAAGCAAAGTAAACTGGCTGCTTATGCATGAGTGTAAATATGAGCAGCTACAGAAGTTTAAATGTTCTTCCAATCCGCGTTCCGTGGCCTCTCCCACCTTCCCTCTGATGTATATGACCTTGGGTTCCTTGGCAGGATGTGGTCATCCAAACAAGACATGTTCAGGGGGGCCACTAGGGGCGCATTGGAAGATGGCTGACAATAACATCTCTCCGACCCACACGAGGTAATTAAGAGGCTGCGATGGGAGTATGCAGCCTCCCTGCCTCCCCAAGGAGATGGGGGGACTGCCCTTGCCTGCTGTGCCCACATATACCACCCCCGGGTGGGGGCACTAGGCAGAAAGCCCTTGCGTGGACTCCGGCTCTCCTGGACGCTGTCTCTGATTCGCGCCGCTAGCTGCAGCAACGTCAAAAGAAACAATTAGAAAGAAGCAAATGCACATATTTCAAGGAAGAATGGGGAGTAAAGACTGCTAATTGAAGGGATCTCTGATAAAGAAGACGGGTCGGATAAAAAGGAATATATCATGAGAAGACACACCAAGGCTCGGTATGTCGGCAACGGGACTGGATGGGGGGGGGAACTTTCCTTTCTTTCTTTTATGTGATTAACCAATAACCCCCCCCCAAGTCAGAAATGCCGCTTAAATGACCTAAGCTGGATGATTTAAGACTGTGTGGAGATAATTTTTAACCAAAAGCATGCTTTAAGGAGATCGTGGAAAGTACAAGAGCTTTGGGATGACACAGTAAAAAACAGCGTTGCCATTTTGGCAAGTTCTGTCGAAAGACTTATGTCTGGGAGGAGGAATGCATTTGTTTTCATACAGCGGGCGAACCTCCTCAGAGGACAAAAGAAGGTGACAGATTTGCGAAGACTAATGATGGAAAGAGTGCTTTTATTTATGGAAGTGATGATACATGGAAACCATCTCGATATGGTTATTGGACGAACGGAAAAATTCACACAGGATTACAATTTGTGTTTACCTACTTAAGGAGATTATCAGAAGAGATCACAAAGAAAAAGGAAAAATATATGAAAATAACAAGAGGAGATGTGGAAACGAAGATAGGACTGGATAGAATTGTGAACATTATTTGGACAGATTTGTGGACATTAATGCAGCAGCAAGAAGATGATTGGAATCCCCTTCGGAACTTGAAATATGGGTACCCCCAACAAAAATTTAAAATTCGGCTTTGTAATTCGGAATGTATGTGATGTGATTTGATTTGATTTGATTGGTCGGTTAATAAAAATTATTTTTTTAAAAAAAAAAACAAGACATGTTCATCCACTATAGGTACAATACTGTAGGTATTGGTATTTTGCCTGTGACTTTCTTTCTGCTCCATATATGTCGACTCACGTATTCCGAATAATAACAGAGTCAATGGGTAAAATAAAGTGTTTGGTGTTTGTCTGCAAAGATAGTTGTACTTCACAGGTATATCATGGAATATGCCCTGGTTATAAAACCCCCAAACGATTTCAGGATTTGTGGCCTACAGGGATCCCTCACAACAACCTGCATCATTACATTGTGAGAAGGGGCACTGCTACTACCTGCTGTGTATTGGAGGGTTGTTCAGCCAGTACACAGTTTCCCCTATTTTGCAGGGTAGTTTCTCTGCATCCATGGGCCTCCATGCTCTCCACCCCGTTCCTTTCCTTGGACACATGGGGGAAATGGACGGAGGAGGTGTAGGTTTCATACTCTGACGCACGGGATCCTCTCCCAGTTAAATTTCTTATTACAGGGAACCAGGCAGAGGGCCTTCTCAGTAGTGGCACCTGCCCTGTGGAACACCCTCCCACCAGATGTCAAAGAGAACAACAACTACCAGACTTTTAGAAGACATCTGAAGGCAGCTCTGTTTAGGGAAGCTTTTAATGTTTGATGCATTACTGTATTTTAATATTTTGTTGAAAGATGGGTGGGGTATAAATATTAAATTATTATTATTATCTGTGACAGGGTACCTACAGAACTCCTATGAAATGACAAATATTGCAGGGAGGGGATATCATATATTGCGCTAAATTCAATGGTAACATCTAGTTCTCTTCAGTTCTGTATAGGAGTTACATGCTGAAAGGTTCACTGAGCTTTCGGTTGACTTGTTTTTTCTTTTGTCCTTATTTTAGATGCCGAAGAGTATCAGCCCCCAATATGGAAATCATACCGTGAGTATCAGAAACTGGAATTTGGGGGTGGGAGGAGGGCAGCGGACCTAACATGGGAGACTTTGGAAGGGCATTGTGTATGATTTGAGGAACCTAAAGGAAGTGAGCACTGATAAGAGGAACCATGGGAGCAGATGCTTAAGTTCCAAGTCAAAATTATCTTTTTAAAATAACAATTTTAGTAAGGTTAGAAGCTATCTAGAGAAGGTGTGGAAGAATCATCAGTGGGTTTTAAGTGACTAGAAAGGCATCTCTAAGAGATTTCTAAGTACAGGGTTGCCTGCCTTGTGACATGAAATTAGAATAGAGCAACAATCTTATATACACTTACCTGAGAATAAGTCCCATTGCATCCAGGTGGACATGTGTAGGATTGCATTTCACGTGGTTGCTGGGATTTCTTCTTGCTCCACATTTGCTAACCACCTGCCAAAGCCAAGAAGCATCAGTTTTGGAGTAGCTGCTTTGAAATGGGTGGGGTGACCTGTCTAAGCCACTGCTATTGCGTAGGTGCTTATTAACTGGACATAAAAGTCAGAGAAACAGAAATGGAGCCAACAGATGCGACAAAGAGTGTGTTGATTGACTAAAGGTGCAGCACAAAATCTCTGGCGCAGGAGTGCAGGCAGAGAAAAAAAGAGAGATTTACTCCAAGGGCAGGTCCTGGCATGATTCTAAGAACAGCCCTTAAAAGCTCGTTTTATTGTTCTTGCTAACACAACAGTCTGTCATTAGAGACTTAGGAGATCATATGGTGTATATGTTTTAATTATATGTACTGCTGAAACAGAAAAAGGATGCTGCCAATCTGTTGTCAAGAATTATTTTGTGTGTGTGTGTGTGTGTGTGTGTGTGTGTGTGTGTGTGTAGGCCTCATTCATTTTACCATGTGGCAGGGCAATAACTGTAGTGGACCTTCATGTTGAAAGTGTTGCCTTTTTCTTAACTTTGGTTGTAGTTGGACCATTAATTCAAGACAAGTTTCTGGGAACCTGGTTGTTGCCCCCCCCCCCCGCACTTCCAACGGAATACTGAATAGGATGTCAATCATATATTTAGTGCTGGAGAAAGCCGCATTCAAAATGAAGAATTTGAAAGCATGGAATATACAGGATAAGTATTCAAAACTGAATCCAGATGCCATGCCTGTCAGCTTTAGAGCTTGTTGGATTTGCCTCTAATCTACAAATACGATTGTCACCCACACACACTACCCTTGCGCTCTAGTTCAGATGCCATGTTGTTTTTACGTTATTTCTCATGTACAGTGACATTACAAACACAGATTGTTGGGCTGGAGACCAGTCTCCCCATAATCTGTTCTTTCCAGGCTAAACGTTCCCTGATCTTTTAACTGTTCCACCTAAGATTTAGTTCCTTCATCCTGGTTGCCCTTCTCTGGGCCCATCCCACTTTGTCTATGTTCTTCCTGGTGCGATTGGTGCCCAGAATTGGGCTCAGTACTCCAGATGTGGCTTGACTAATGCAAATAGAGAGGAATGATCCGGGCACCGTGCTTCTGCTAACGTAGCCTGAGATTGCATTAGTTTGTTTAGCAGCCACATTGCACTGCTGGCTTGTGATGTTGTGTGCTGGTGCCAAGCCAGGTCTCTCCCACCCTATACTAGTGCCTTTCGAGTTTTTGTGCCTACATGCAGGACTTCTGCCAAGTCTCCAAATGCCTTGGAAAGTGATGAAACCGGTAAGCTACATTTTCAGGATTCTTTGCACTGAGCTTCTTCTCAGTAAGGCATCTGTGTTGCACATTTCTTACATTGCTCTGCGTGACGGTCATGGCCCATCAATCTTCTGACACCATGTGTTGTATTCTGCCATTTATGTAGGAACTCACTACAAGCTGAGCTAGTGGTAGAACAAAATTGATTTTTGAAGTGGCTTGAGAGCCTGCCTAGGGTAGTAACAAACTTCTCTGGTCATACCTCAGAGCCAGCTCTCCAGAAGCTGCCTTTTGTCACCATTCATAGCTGTTTCTCGTAAAGGGACCACAGGCCAGATATTTAGTTGGCCATGCATACAATTTACTAAGGAGCAACCCTCTTTTTTGCATCTCCCCTTCCTTGGGTGTTGTTGCCGTTCAAGCTAAAGGAGAATGGTTCAGTTTGTAATGTCCTGAGATTATGCTGCCCCTAGCCATAATGCGACTAAGGGACATGGGTGGCGCTGTGGGTTAAACCACAGAGCCTACGACTTGCTGATCAGAAGGTCAGTGGTTCGAATCTCCACGACGGGTTGAGATCCCATTGTTCGGTCCCTGCTCCTGCCCACCTAGCAGTTCAAAAGCACATCAAGTGCAAGTAGATAAATAGGTACCACTCCAGCGGGAAGGTAAACGGCGTTTCCATGTGCTGCTCTGGTTTGCCAGAAGCAGCTTAGTCATGCTGGCCACATGACCCGGAAGTTGTACACCGGCTCCCTCGGCCAATAACGCAAGATGAGCACCGCAACCCCAGAGTCAGTCACGACTGGACCTAATGGTCAGGGGTCCTTTTACCTTTAGCCATAATGTGAAGTCATTTATTGTTTCCGTAGTGACAGGTGGTCATTTCCAAACTCAGCAACATCACTGCTCCAGTCTGAGCAACTTGGCTCTTATCGAATGACCAAGCTGGTATCAGGCTGCCTCTACCAGCTTGCTAGATTTCCTTTCTTTAAATCAACTGCTGTCACGTGAATGTGCAGCATGTTGTGCACTGCATGTGTGCGTCAGTGCGCCCTATCAGAGGCTTGCTGCATATTGAACATGCTTTATAAAAGGGAGTTTAGAATGGTGACAAAAGATGCGCATAGCCCTTCCCTGTTCTGTGGCTCTTTGTGAAGGGCCTTTTCCCCGTTGGGATTCAAATCACTTGAACCCCATTGGTGTGTGAAAATTCACTGCCAGCACAATTTGGAGCAGAGGAATGATGAGCAAGGGAAGAGGAACACATTCCCTTTCACTTGCTTCACTGCTCCAAATCTTATTCTCCTAAAACTGTTTTTTTTTAATGACATCTGGGTTCTTCTGTACACGTGTTTGTGTGCAATGAGTTGTTTGGCCCTCAGGCCAGCCAAAAGACTTGACTGCAGCGCACAGCAATAACACACCTCATGCTGATCATTTCCTGTTTTTGACTCACTTAATTAGGGATGTGCAAGCTCCCTCCAGTTCGATTCATAATTGGCTCGGTTTTTCAAAGCATTCTCAGAAAACACCTGGAGAAAGTTCAGGGTTTTCTCAAGAGTTAGTTCTTGGGAATAATGCTTGGGAGAATTAAAACTGCTGTTGCTGTTCCCCTCTTCTCAAACAGGGACACGTGTGGCGTTGTGGTCTAAACCACTGAGCCTGTTTGTGCTTGCCGATCAGAAGGTTGGTGGTTCGAACCCACAGAGCTCCCCTTGCTCTGTCCTAGCTTCTGCCAACCTAGCAGTATCCTACAGTCCATTGTGCTTGCCGATCAGAAGGTTGGTGGTTCGAACCCACAGAGCTCCCCTTGCTCTGTCCTAGCTTCTGCCAACCTAGCAATTTGAAAGCATATCAGCGCAAGTAGATAAATAGGTATCACTGTGGTAGGAAGGTAAACGGTGTTTCTGTGCACTCTGGTTTCCATCATGGTATTCCATTGTGCCAGAAGTGGTTCAGTCATGCTGGGCACATGACCCAGAAAACTGTCTGCAGACAGACGCCGGCTCCCTTGGCCTGAAAAGTGAGATGAGTGCCATAACCCCATAGTCACCTTTGACTGGCCTTAACTGTCCAGAGGTCCTTTGCCTTTTACCTCTTCTCAAACATACATTGAAAGGAAAGTGTGGTTGCACTGAAGGCTGGTGACAGTGTTCATTTCATCCTACCATTCCCAGACTTTCAACAGCAGTGGAGTATCCTACAGTCCATTGAACCGAATGAAATTGTACAATTACCAGGTTTCCCAGCAACAATGGCTGCTTTAAAATTAAGCCTTCGCTGCCATTAGGCTTTCCCAAAGCTGTCTTCTTACCTGCATAAGTTCAGGTGATGCCATGCCAAGCCCATTGTAAGCCATGCCTGAAATTCTGGAGTGATTTATGCTCTGCTTATACTTAGCTGGGGAGTAAGAACCGCCAGCTTGGCTATTCTGCACCACCACCACCTCAGTTATGAAATTCAATGCAATTACTAGAAAATTGACCTTTTCCACTTGTAACTAAACCCTACAGCTCACTTCTATTGCATTGTGCGATGGTTTGCTGCTTAAGGGCATGTGCTTATGAGCTTGAAATCTCTAGTTCAAATCATGATTCATACAGTCATTAGATGCCAGACTTGCAATACAGTGTTAGTGAAACACTTCGGGAATTTAATGGGGAAACATATAAATGCTAAGCATGCATCTGTCTCTCTTGCCATGATGCTGACCACAAACATTTGTAAGTTTTAGTCTGCTCCTACTGGATCAGAAGTTGACTACAAATATGTTAATATGCTTGTATACAGAATGCCCACATTTGAAATAAATTGTAGACTTGTCTGGGCTACAGAGAAAGCTACCCCTTTTCTCACTTGTATATTCCCTGAAGACCTGCTTCTTCCATAATGCTTAAAAATCTTTGCTGACTAAAGTAATTTTCTAATGTATTTCATTTACTTGCCTTATTACTGACCAGCTCACTTACTGACATAAGATCGTTAGAGCAGAAGCTGTAAATAGCTCTGGGAGAGCAAAGGGGAAAAGAGCTGAAAAGTGATCGAAGGATGTAGGGAGAAGAATACAGAGTTGTAAAAGTATTAAACAGCTTTTAGAATACGTATCTTGTTATCGCTATAGGCAACTAGTATGTATTAGTAGTACAATACGGTAATAGAATATATTATTGCATGCCTGTCCGCACTGATATTCCTTATTCTGTATGTGTATTAGAATGTTGTTGTTGTTTAGTCGTGTCCGACTCTTCGTGACCCCATGGACCAGAGCACGCCAGGCACTTCTGTCTTCCACTGCCTCCCGCAGTTTGGTCAGACTCATGCTGGTAGCTTCGAGAACACTGTCCAACCATCTCATCCTCTGTCGTCCCCTTCTCCTTGTGCCATCCATCTTTCCCAGCATCAGGGTCTTTTCCAGGGAGTCTTCTCTTCTCATGAGGTGGCCAAAGTCTTGGAGCCTCAGCTTCAGGATCTGTCCTTTCAGTGAGCACTCAGGGCTGATTTCCTTCAGAATGGATAGGTTTGATCTTCTTGCAGTCCATGGGACTCTCAAGAGTCTCCTCCAGCACCATAATTCAAAAGCATCAATTCTTCGGCGATCAGCCTTCTTTATGGTCCAGCTCTCACTTCCATACATCACTACTGGGAAAACCATAGATTTACTATACGGACCTTTGTTGGCAAGGTGATGTCTCTACTTTTTAAGATGGTGTCCAGGTTTGTCATTGCTTTTCTCCCAAGAAGCATTTCATGGCTGCTCTCACCATCTGCAGTGATCATGGAGCCCAAGAAAGTAAAATCTCTCGCTGCCTCCATTTCTTCCCCTTCTATTTGCCAGGAGGTGATTGGACCAGTGGCCATGATCTTCGTTTTTTTGATGTTGAGCTTCAGACCATATGTATTAGAATACTGATGGAACTAAGCTGAAAAAGGGGTTGTTGGGGTGTGTGTCTCTGTCTTTTTCTTTTTTAAGTACAGGACATGTATATTTTAATACATTTTACTTCCTATAGCTTTACCTGCTTCCTACATGTTAGGAACACAGGAAGCTGCTTTTTACTGAGTCTGATCATCGGTCCATGTAGTCCAATAATGTCTGCTCTGGCTGGCAGTGGCTCTGCAGGGTTTCAGGCAGTGGACATTTCCAGCCCTAACTGGACATGATGGGAATTGAATGAAGAACCTTCTGTATGTATGCAAAGCAGATGCTCTACCCCTGAGCTACCTGGTCCTTCCGCTGTTTTTATTTAGGTTTTACCTGCAGCCAAGCATTTTTGTCTCAAGTGGTGAACTGCCGACTGGAAAGAAAGCAAAAGAATGTGGCAAGGCAGGGCCTTCAAAGAGACTTGCGCAGGGCAATGTACAGCTGCTACTTCTCATGGAGCAGATGTTTATTTTGTGCGTCCCACTGTGGCAGTCCCACAGTGGCAGTCCCCGCACAAACTGGTTTCGCAGGATTTTGTGGCACTTCAAAGCCATATCGCGGGAAATTTCGCAGAAGCACAGTCACATCCATTTGCAAGAGTACATTCAGGTAATGTTGTGGGTGCTAGTTGGATAGTGCCCATTACAAATAAATGAGAAGATAGATAGGTGTCCACATATGAAATTGATGAAGAGTATAGCACAGCCTGACTAATCAATTTAACATTATCATTAACATAGCAAATCCACGAGAAATTAGGCTCTGGAATAGCCTGCCGTTAGGAAGACTAGCGCAAACGGGTTGACTCCGCAGGAATGCCCAAAGCTATGAGCAGCCTTTTGCTGATAAACGCGCTTTCCTTTTTATGGATTACACGAGATAGGTCAGTGCTAATGCAACAGGAATGGCAAATCACTTCTTTCTTCAGGTCTCACCAGCCACGTGCTCCCTGCACCTGGGCTCACAAAACAATATACAAGTACATACACACCTAGGACTCAGTTGGATTAGTCAAAAAACAGTGTTTTGAATGTGTTATAAACATGCAACACCAGACGACGCTGGAGAGCAAAAATAATTTCTATGCGTTTTTCCATAGCGGTTTTTTTTTTTTGGTTTTTTTTTTTTGTTATAATGATTTAATTTCTGACTTAATTATAGCGGGGTTTTTCCTGTGTGTAGATCCACCCTAGTCATTAATATGAACCCTGCCACGGGCATTTAAAGGCAACGTCACATGATGTGGTGTGTTCAGCACAGCGGAAGCCTTGCAAGCCAACATCTCACAAGTTTCCGCTATGGCAAGCAGAATATATAATTTCCATCAATAGATTTGTTGGAATGGATGGCGCTAGTACCAATAGAAAATCTAAAATGTGTAGCAATTTTTAAAGATATGCTCACGTTTCTCTGACTAATTTCCACATTTCCATGTGTAGAAAAGATGTGCATAAAAACAGAAATCACTCCCATTTCGGGAAAATCATTTGTCATATTGTTGTCACATGCATGGCTATTTCACTTGAGGAGCAGCCTCACGGGAAGAACTTCTGCCAGTTTTTTGCAAAAGTAGCTGTACAGAGCACTGATTGACTAGACATGGGTGGCGCTGTGGTCTAAACCACTGAGCCTCTTGGGCTTGCCAATCAGAAGGTCGGCGGTTCGAATCTGCATGGCGGAGTGAGCTTCCATTCCTCTGTCCCAGCTCCTGCCAACCCAGCAGTTTGAAAGCATGCAAGTGCAAGTAGATAAATAGGTACCACTGTGGCGGGAAGATAAACAGCGTTTCCATGCACTCTGCCTTCCGTCACGGTGTTCCATTGCGCCAGAAGCAGTTTAGTCATGCTGGCCACATGACCCAGAAAGCTGTCTATGGACAAACGCCAGCTCCCTCGGTCTGAAAGCGAGATGAGCGCTGCAACCCCATAGTCGCCTTTGACTGGACTTAACTAGGTCCTTTACCTTTTTACCTAGATACCTGAGAATTCACAGAGCACCCTCTCCCTCTTCTCCAAGAAGTTTTAAAATCTTAAAGCAGGCATTATAATTTCTGTTATTTTAAATGGATAATTGTACTAACAACACATGAACCAACCAGCCAAAAAGTAGGCAGCCTTCTAGACAGCAGAGGTGAGGAGGAAAACTGATGAGGATATCAAGATTCACTGTGGAGGAAGGTACCTGTGTCCTCTCTATGAATTCTAAATGCGGTACTCTGTAATACCCCTTGCTAGTCAGCTATTTCCCCTTCATTTGAATTTAGTTTGAAGCATCTTCTTTAAGCCTATCTAAGCAAATGTTAGTATTCATTGCAGCCTTCTAATTACAAACGTGTTTTTTATGTTTGACAGTGTATCAGTTACAACAGGAAGCACCTCGTCCCAAGAGAATAATTTGTCCTCGAGAGGTCAGTTTCAAGTTTCTCTTCATCTTCTTTAATTGAATGGTCAGCAGCATGCTGATACTGTTGGTCTTCACATTTTATGTGTGCAGGATGTGATCTATATATTGTCACCCACACAAAAGATTCAAAAGCGCTCTCTTTTTAAAAAAAGTATAAGGTAAACATTATAAAAACACCAGTCGGTGTTTGTTATTAATTCCAAGCATTAAGTGATTAATATTATTAAGATGTTTTCAGTACTATTTTTGTGTTCATCTAAGTGTTGTGTATCTTTGTATTTATTTATGCCATAAATGAAGCGTGATTTCCTACCCCACCACAGCAAATCTTCCACTAGCTTCACAAACCCTGTTTTTCACCTGAAAATATGCATTTTGACAAATGTTTTAGAATAGTGTAGATAGAATATTGCATTAATAGCATGTGGTCATTCTCCCGACAAGTCTAAAGCACAAAGACAGTATGTAAGAATAGATAAGGATTTACTGGCTGTCTTCCACTTTGGTTTCCTGAAGTTTCTAACAGAGTGCTTTGTTTTTGACCAGTTTTATTCCCATGATGGTGTACTAGGTATGGCTCACCCTAATTGCACAACATCTGAGATGAAACTGCTGATCTTGGTTTTGTCTTGGCAGAGTAAGCACCTCATTAAAGAGGTGCTTCCTTCCCTAGGATGTTCCCGGTGATGTCTGTATAGGCCTTATGAAGGTCACCGGAAGTGTTGCTGATTGAAGACACAGATCTGCTGTAACTATCAGAGGTGCTAACTGAGAAACACACATTTCAAGTGGATAAGCAGCTCTGTCTGATGCTTCAGCAGCTCTGAGCAGAGAGGACTCCCTAGTCTTCCTCCTGAAATAGACCTGTCCCAGTCAATGCATCTCCTGCAGAGCAAATCTGCTGGCTAGAAAGAGCAGTTTCCAGCATCGAGCAGGAGCCCTTCCCAGTAGCAGATCTGTTCATGAATAAGCTCCTCAGCTGTCAGGCTTAAAAGCAATTCTTTTGTTTTCTGCAGGTGGGAAGGGCACACCCACTGCAGCAGAGTTCTCCAGGAGAAGGGAGGGAGAGATCCTTTCTCTTTCTCCTGGGAAGAAGCTGTGTGGTTCGAATGTGCTTGAAGTTCCTCTACTTGTCTCTTTAGTATGATAATGATTTTTAGTAGTTTTTAAGGACATGTTTCTTCACGTTTGCTAGCAAGCAAGAATGGCCAGAAGCAATACTGTTAGGCAGAGTCGCCTTTGCACAGTATACTCAGTGCATTTCCATGTGTGGCATGAGACTTGTTGGTGTACCTTAAGTTGTGATGAGTGAGGTCATTGTGGCTCATACTGAGATTAACTCAGAAATAAAGCCGCCTACAATGTTTTGGAACAGACTAGATGAATGAGGCTGGGGGAGGGGGGACTGAGAAGTTGTCTCTGGCTTGGGTTTTCATCTTGTTCTTCTATATACAGTGGTACCTCAGGTTAAGTACTTAATTTGTTCCAGAGGTCCGTTCTTAACCTGAAACTGTTCTTAACCTGAAGCACCACTTTAGCTAACGGGGCCTCCCGCTGCTGCCGCACCACCGGAGCACGATTTCTGTTCTCATCCTGAAGCAAAGTTCTTAACCTGAGGTAATATTTCTGGGTTAGCGGAGTCTGTAACCTGAAGCGTATGTAACCTGAAGCGTATGTAACCCGAGGTACCACTGTACTTGGTAATTCTATCTTCAATAATGCTTTCCATCAATTCTCCCTGAAATGATGCAGAGACGTCTTTCCCATAGGGCTTAGTGGTGCGTCACGCCAGGGTGCCGACTTCTCAGGGGTGCCCCCGGAGTGGTGGAGCTGTGCGGCTTTACTGGTGGCCTCCCCTTTCCCTGCACACCCGCCAGCTGCGCCCCGCCAACTGTATAGCTGGCGGGTGGGCGTGTAGCTTCCTTCCCAAGCCTTCGTGAGAGGAGAGCGATTCCCGCAGAGGCTTAGGATGGAAGCTGCTCCCTGCCAACCATATGGCTGGCAGGCACGCAACTTCCCTCCCAAGCCTCTGCGGGGATCTCTCTCCCGCAGCGGCATGGGGGGGAGTTGCACCCCCCATGGCTGGCAGTGCGCAGCTTCGTCCCCCCCATCCGTGGTAATTTGGGGGTGCTGGGTGGATACTTGCACCCCAGTGCCGCGTCTGCTAAAGATGGCCCTGAAATGATGTTAAGCTAACCAGCCTAGGATTTCTTAGATACACTCAGATCCATTTTTTAAAATTGGTGTTAAACACCTTCCCCCCCAAAAAGAAACAAAGATAACACAATGAGATTAATATCAGATTAAAATATTATTATCCTACCACCCAATTCTATAAATGTTACCTTTTACGCATTTCATAATGATTGAAGGAATGGAGCATTGTAGATGACTCTTGGAACAAATTCCCCCCTGTATAAACTCCCATTACAGAATAGCTTAATGTTCGTGCAGCTTATTGGTTTGGCATAATGCTAAATCGGTGTTGGAAGTCTCTCTCTGCTGGAGATTTTCAGAAATTGCTAACAATTATTCAACAAAACAGTGTTCACTACAATGGCAAATTTGAATAAACTGTCCCTGGTGCATACAAAGCATGCACTTCCTAAACCGGACTATTATGCAGAGAAATATGTCAGCTAATTACTTTGCTCATTGTTCTTAATTCTAATTACAGTTTTAGAAAACACTATTGCTAGTAAAGATAGTAAAATATGTGATAGCTTGGGGAAAAGCAAAACATTTTACCATCTTCTGCTCTTAATTCTGTACGAAATGGGAACGGATTTTTATTCATAAGTGCCAGTTTATTTTTCAGCTGGATGTAATATGCAGAAATCTTCAAAGTATAAATAAATACAAGTAGTAATGTATGAAGGAGTTTAACATATGTAAATGTGAAATGTTCCTCTGTTTTCTGCTTAGATTTTCCTGAAAGCCTAGCTGTAAAACAAGAGCTTGAAGATTACTATGGTATCTTTTTGGCTTGTAATATTCTCACTGTGGTGCTAAAGCATCCAGGAATTCCTTTAGTTCACGTAAAATTCAGTAAAAGATAATATAAAATATTGGATTTTCACCTGGGAGACATAAATCTAAATAAGAGACTCAGCCATCGATGTTTTGTTCCCCAGTTGTTCGCATCTAAGGATGGAATATTTATTCGTGGATTTAAATGGATAATACATGATTTGATGTGAAATGGTCCTGAATCATTCTATGTCCTCAAGTAATGTTTTACATAAGAGACATACAGGCAAAGCAAATCTCAGTTGGCATTTGGTTTGTGCTGCCTGTCTAGAATGACATTTGAAAGCAGGAGTTCTAGAACAAGTGGAGGAAGTATGTATATACATGTCCTCATTTTCACAGGACTTCACCCTTCAAATAAGCAATAGTCACAAAGCAGCATCCCTAAACCTATAGTAGTTAAGGTTCTTTGTACTTGACCCAGTAAGTCAAGAAGGAAATACTAAGTTGAAGATTCCAAACAGAGTGAAAGGCTTTAGCTACTGATGTCATGAGCCCTGCAGAACTTTTGGGATCAGGTGTGGATTGGCAGGTGCTCAGGAGAAGGAGGAAGAAACAGAGGGGGAGCTGAACGGTGGGAACTGTCATGGTCCCTGAGTGATGGGGCTGGTCAGACAAAGAAGGTGGAGGAATGAGCTGCTCACAGAAGAACCCAAGGAGGTTCCAGTGGGATAGGGCAGGACATACCAAACCAGAGTCATGGGGACTTGAGGAGCTGCTTGGGAAGGAGGATCATGGAACACACCCAGTGGGGACCTCTTCACCCCATGTCATTTCCCAGGCACCCACACAGCCTTTCCTCAAAGATCACCAAGGCCCACCTTCAACTCAGTCACTCTGAATGTAGTGCCAACTCTGGAGTTGCCGTTTCTGGCTCCCTAGCTCTTCAGACAAGGTGGCCGCCCAGCCTGTCCCATCCGCTCCCCAACCTCTGTTGCTGAGGTCATGAAGAAGACACCAGCACAGGCATGAACAGACAGGGAAGACCCACCCTTCTCAGAGGAGTGCCTGCTTGCATGCCCAGTTTCAGGAACAGCCTCAATTGCCATCCTAAGTTGTGCCTGCCCCATTCCCATATAACAAGGTTGTGTGGGGGGATGTCGCTGGTTGGATCAATGTCTTAGCTTGTCTAGCCATGTGTAGCACCTACGATGTCTTTGAACTCTGCCTGTGTACTCTACTGATCTGGGAATTAAAGATTTTGGTAGATACTGTAATTTGAGTTGGCGTTCTTCCTCCAGCGAGAGCCAGGACAGGAATCTAGACTGGAGGTGGGGGACTCTCTCCTTTCTGCCCTGACTTCAGCTACCTCTGAAGGGATGCTGGTTCTCCTTCCTCCAGCTTTTCTGCAAAACACAGAGCCTCAGCAGAGGCTGAGAAGGACTTGGAGGGGCTGGAGGAGGCAGAACCAGAGGTGGCAGCGACTGAACAGGTGCCCAAACAGAAGGGTACAAGCTTGTGATCTAGAACCAGACACTACCTTCACAGATGGGAGCAAACTCCCCACCAAGGTGTTTGCAGTTCCCAACATTTGCAAAGTGAGTGAGTCTTGTGAGTTAGTGCACCCCAAAAGATTGGCCGGTGGGGTGTGGGAACAGGTTGGGGCATCTTAGCCGCTTACATCTCTTTCAACACTTCTTGACCTGCTCTTGTCCCTCGTATGCTAAGCATCTCAGAAAAGGGAGAAGGGTGACATCATAAACCGGATGATGTCATGCAAAGTATAAAACAATACCATGTATCCTAAGTGTCTCAGATTGGAGAAGGATGACATCATAAAGCAGATTGTGTCCAGTGAGTCAATCTCAAATGTTTTCCAACTAGATAAATGACTTAATTAAATATGTATATTTAGGCACTGATGCCAGGAAAGGAAATCTGTTCAGGATGAAATAGTCTGTTCCCCGGGGATGGTTTGTCCACCTGGCAACTGAATAAGAGACTTTTCCAAAGGAAAGGAAAGGAAATGTAGTC